GTAAGGCAACCTAACATTGCATAATTTCTATAAGACAACCTAACATTGCATAATTTCTATAAGACCACCTAAGATTGCATAATTTCTGTAAGACCACCTAAGATTGCATAATTTCTGTAAGACTACCTAAGATTGCATAATTTCTATAAGACAACCTAACATTGCATAATTTCTGTAAGACCACCTAGACCACCTAAGATTGCATAACTTCTGTAAGACCACCTACATGTAAGATTGCATAATTTCTATAAGACTATCATGCAATTGTAAGTTCGTGTGACATCACCTACACGTAGTTGTAAGTTTTATCTGAGATCGCTTAATTGATGATCTGTGTATCTTTCTTTTTTCTATTTCTTTCTCTTCTTTCTCTTTCCAAGTAGGACCCCTTCCTCCTGCACCACCTCGTAATAAAGGTAACCCTCAACTCTGTACAAGTGAATCTTTTTCTTATTACACCTAATACTTGCACAGTGTGTGTCTTGGTGTACTGTTATACTCATACATATGCATGTTGTATGTTTCAGGAAGCTTTGTTTTAAATGCGCTGTTTGTTACGCTTTGTGGAGCCTAATGTAAACAGTTTAATTTTTACTATTGGAGAAAAAATATAGAAATTTAGGATTTTGACACTCCATGTCATGGAATTTTCACTGCTACAAAATTGTTCGATTTTCACTGACCTGCGTAATTCATGAAAATGTGTCTATCAAAGATAATTATGCAGATTCCACTCGCACTCGTCATTCTTAACGGTCAACTATCAACCATCATTTTAGTTAGTCCGCTATTTTAAAACTGTTTCATAAATAAGTTTGAAATATAAGTGTATTGCATCTCTTGTGAAAATCTATAATCTAATGGTAGTGTGAACCCTATAATGTAACATGACTCATTCATAATATTACCATGGATACTTAGTAACTTGAAACTCTCTTTCTGTGTAATAAAAAAACATAATTATGACTCAAAACTAACATAGTTAATTTTCATCGCATTTCTTCTTATAAGGCTATCAATCATTATTTCTATGGATGACCTGCATTTGACCTTTGAATTTTAGGAAATATTTGATGATCTGAATTTGCACGCAATTTGGGAAGTATTTAATGGCCGTTCAAATATCAGTGCTTTTTGTGACATTCAAATGCTGACGATTATTCATTTGAGCTTGCGTGTTTACTGGTAAATTTATTTTTGAATAGCGTTCCAATCTAACATTCATTGATTCACAAAGCTTCCTCTGTTTTGAATTACTGCAAAATCCTAGTGAATCATTTCATTGTGCAAATTTAGACTATCACATTTGTCGCGTAATAGTCAGAATCCAACTCTCATAAAGTGACTGTAAAGAATGTTAATTCACACAGCGGTTATGGGAGACTTGCATACGTGTGTTAGAGTGATTTGTGTGTTTTGGCATGTGAACAGTATTTATGTAATCTTGTTTGGTGTGGAATATGTGTATTCATTGATAAATCTGAAAGAAACTTGCATTTTGTCTTTATAAATAAATTTTTGAAAATAAAACTAATTTAATTTTTCTCATTTTCTTGTCCATTATTGCCATTATTACTGGCCACCTAACTGTATTAAATTGTGTGTGACCATCTAGCTATATTAAATTGTGTTGTGACCACCTAACTGTATTAAATTGTATATGACCACCTAACTGTATTAAATTGTGTGTGACCACCTAACTATATTAAATTGTGTTGTGACCACCTACCGGTAACTGTATTAAATTGTGTGTGACCACCTAACTGTATTAAATTGTGTGTGACCACCTAACTGTATTAAATTGTGTGTGACCACCTAACTGTATTAAATTGTTTGTGACCACCTAACTGTAATAAATTGTGTGTGACCACCTAACTGTAATAAATTGTGTGTGACCACCTAACTATAATAAATTGTGTGTGACCACCTAACTATATTAAATTGTGTTGTGACCACCTACCGGTAACTGTATTAAATTGTGTGTGACCACCTAACTGTATTAAATTGTGTGTGACCACCTAACTGTATTAAATTGTGTGTGACCACCTAACTGTATTAAATTGTGTGTGACCACCTAACAGTATTAAATTGTGTGTGACAATCTAACTGTATTAAATTGTTTGTGACCACCTAACTGTATTAAATTGTTTGTGACCACCTAACTGTACTAAATTGTGTGTGACCACCTAACTGTATTAAATTGTGTTGTGACCACCTAACTGTATTAAATTGTGTTGTGACCACCTAACTGTATTAAATTGTGTTGTGACCACCTAACTGTATTAAATTGTGTTGTGACCACCTAACTGTATTAAATTGTGTTGTGACCACCTAACTGTATTAAATTGTGCTGTGACCACCTAACTGTATTAAATTGTTTGTGACCACCTAACTGTATTAAATTGTGTTGTGACCACCCAACTGTAATAAATTGTGTGTGACCACCTAACTGTATTAAATTGTGTTGTGACCACCTAACTGTATTAAATTGTGTTGTGACCACCTAACTGTATTAAATTGTTTGTGACCACCTAACTGTAATAAATTGTGTGTGACCACCTAACTATATTAAATTGTGTTGTGACCACCTACCGGTAACTGTATTAAATTGTGTGTGACCACCTAACTGTATTAAATTGTGTGTGACCACCTAACTGTATTAAATTGTGTGTGACCACCTAACTGTATTAAATTGTGTGTGACCACCTAACTGTATTAAATTGTTACTTAGCAAGTATAGGGTGTAGTTTAAACTGTAATTAAATATTTAATTCTGAAAAAATTTGTTGTCAAAGTTCTGTTTTACCCATCTATTGCATGTTGTGCATGAATTGGTATAAGCTGCAATTTATGCTGATTTTAGAGCAATTTATCAATGCATTTAATAGTTTGCCAGAAAATTCTTAGTGGTATCAAATGAATATATAGGAAACAATATCAGGATTTACATACTTTGTATAAGTAAACATGATACTTTCCTATTATTTTGTTGATCCTTTTGCCCTCTCTTTATTAGTCTGGATACATTGCCTCGATTTTCATTCTCCGATCGATGGGTGACCATGGCATTGATTAGTTGATAAATATAGATGTGACGAGTGACATCAACAAATAGTTGCTACAGAAACGAGAGTCCTACAGTCCCTTTTTCGTGACGTTGAAATAAATTTACATTGTTATTATAAAGCAAAATCGAGCCAACATTTCTAGACTAGTATATAGAAAGGGCCAAAAGACCCACGAAATAATAGAAAGGTAACTAGCCTACATTAAAAACATAAAACACTGCCTGATTTCTCATTTTGTACTACAAGAATCTTTTTGATTAATCATATTATACAAAATATTTAGTACTGACAAACTTGCAGCTAACATGTATGTTGATTTTAACACTAGACTCACAATTTAAATATTTGAATTGTTGTTCTTTTCTGTCTTGCTTCCTATAGGGCAGCCTCCACCACCGCCTCCAAAGCCTAAAAAACATCTGCCATATTATTCTAACCAAGGTATTAACCCTTTAGCTAAAAGCACCACGCACACACACGTTAAGGACAACTATTAAAGCATGCACCTTATTAACCTATTCTGCCTGCTATTTGCGTTGTGTTTATGTTGTGGGTTTTAAATGGTTGAAATTTGCTGAATTGTTTGTTTTTGAATTCATGTGTCACCAGTTACAACATATTTTTGTGTTTCTAACAACTGACTGTTGTTATTTTATTTTGACATGTTGGCTGTGAAAGGGGAACCATATAGTGCTTCCCAAATGAAAGTGTATATACACTATTTATATTTACACACTATTTATTGTATGGTGAATCATTAATATACACCCTAATTATACACCATTTATACACTTTTGTCGTCTACTAATAGAGCAAATATGGTAATTTCATAATTTCTTAGTAAGTACTGTTGTTGCAAATTGTTGTGCTATGGTATGCTATGTTATTCGTAAAATATCTGCATTGCTAATAGCGGAGCATCACTGAGTGGTTTTGATGAATCAGTTGTATTTTATCATTAGCGTCTTTTGACAGCATCGAATCACATGCTGGATTCTCTGTTCTATGATCAAATTATTATTACAGAATTAATATTCAATATGAAACTAGATTAGTCTGAGAGTCTTCAGTTATTTCGTGTATAGCCTTTAGAAATTTATAGGACGGCTATTTTTAGCTACCACTGCGAGTGAGCAAACTTGGAACATTGAGTATTGCATACTCCCTAGGTTAGTTGTGTTTAGCACACACCCAAAGTAGAATTCTAACAGCAATGCATGATGGGATTTATTGGAGTGAAGACAATAAATAAAAGACGTAATGTGTCAGCTTGCAATTAGTGAAACTCATGAAGACCGTAATTTTCAAATTTGACTTTTGGTCAAGTTACTTTTAACTGAAACTTGGTGACAATACAACTTTCAAGGACAAAAACGAAATATACATGTAAAATTGGTACTAGTAGATATCAACTGCCAGTTGATTGAGGCTGTTACTTGAGATTTACTGATTTAACTTTGATTTATTCTGGTGTACACACTTCTTTGCATCTGTATATGCTTCAGGAAGTAAGGAGATTTAAATTGTAGAATTACAGATTGATGTCTCTGTCCCCGGAGTACTTAAATTGTTATTGCCTGTAAAACTTAGTTGAAAGCCACTTCAATTTGGGGTAACTTTGGTCGTAAATTATCTTTAAAATGTTTCGGTTATCAGTTTGAATGTTGTTGTGCATTTCTGTTTAAATTCTGCATTGTGTACGCACTATAAATGCAACAGACCAAGTAATTAGTATTTCAATGGTTGTAATTTCACTCAGACACAGTGGAAACTTGAGTAAAATAGCTATTCTATAATTTCAAAAAGACCTAATGGCTATACAGGAAGCAGTACAGTGTGGTATGCATCTCAAACTCATCTTAAATGGAAAATGCTTCACATCAAATATTGATTCGGTAATATTCTAAATACTGTGAAATACTTTATTTTAGCTAGAATTAATTTTCGCTGGAATTTTTGTATGGAATTTATTTTGACTGATTTTTGATGAGTTGAATGTGAGACACAGGAAAAAAAGTATATTTGCTGGATTTTATTTTCACTGAAGCATTCCTTCAGCGAAAATAGCGAAAATAAATTCTAAGCAGAAATAAAGTATTCTACAGTAGTTGAACAGAAAATCCTGAAAATACCTAATATTTCAAAAGATTTTTCGAACCAAACTTTGACAACAACACTAGTTGTATGTAACACTAGTGCATAAATTATGAGATTTCCTGGTTACCATCTAGAGGGCGCTATCTCCTGGCATTTCAAAAATTGCAACATGTCTTGCATCTTGGTTTATGGTGTGGTACTATGTTAATTCGTCAGAACTTTTATTTCCCCTTTCACAGCACAGCTTAAAATCGGCATTGGTGTAGTTTAATTGTGCGTAATTATCCTGTCAAAGGGATGTTATTGCGCAAGACATCCTTTAGGATTATACAGTTTTCAGGGAAGGGGCGTTTAGGGGTTTATTTTAAAGATTTGGCATGGTTTGGGGTTAGAAACATTGTTAAAATAATTATTCACCAGCGTATTGTTCAAAACATATACCAAACTCTGCACTTCTCATCCTAGACCAATGCTAGTAAATGTTTTCTTAAAGTTAATGAACTTGTCTTCTACAATTGTTTTTCTTGTTCAATTCAAAATATGTTGAAATTAGAGAAAATCAAGCATTATAAATTGAACAAAGAATGTATAGTATATAGTCCACTGATTTAAAGCTCTGATGTTAACTTTTTGTCTTGTGAATTTATTTGTCATTTTCAGGTCTACAAACATACAGGCCTGCTGTGTATCATAATCCTGCAGAAAACGAAGACCTTCCCCCACCCCCTCCACCACCCGAGCCAGCAGAACCCTACCACAGTAGCCACTCGTTCCCTCCACCGCCACCTCAGGATGATCTACCTCCGCCACCTCCGCCCGCTGCTATGACATACTCGTATTCCAGTAGAACAGATACTCAGTATAGTCCGCGACAAACGTCTGCGTCCCCACCTCCACCACCTCCTCCCCCTCCTGCACCTCCAAGCTTTGATTCACAGCCCAGATACAGCCCAAGCCATCAATCGTACAATCAGCCACGATCTCCACCTACTTCCACTTACGCACCACCCCCTCCTCCTCCTCCACCACCTGCTCAAGTATATCGTCCAAAAGAGCCCCAACAACAGTTGTATGAAAGTAGACCCCAGCAGTCACCCTATTCACACCCACCTGCATCACATACCCCAACAAGGGATGTTTACCAAACCAAACCCAATGACATGTATTCACCCCCAGCTACGCAACCTACTGCAACATACACACCACCAGTAAACACTTACCAGCAGCAGCCCTCCAGCAAAAACTACCAACCACCTGCCAGTTCCTACCACCAACCTACGAGTTCCTATGCTTCCCCAAGCTCTCACACACAGTCTAGCAGTGCCTATTCACCATCCTCCAAACCCGCCTTCCAGTCAGGCCCTGGTATTCATTCAATACCCCGCCCCACTGACCAACCGTTATCCAAACCAGATAAGGTAGGGACAGAAGCAGAGGTGGATGCACTCACAAATCTCCTGGTACAGAACATGGAGGGAGCTGTAGAACCAGACTTCTTTGGTAAGCAAGACGTTTTACTATGTTAAGCGGTACTTGCATTGCATCCAATTGATAGAATGAAATCGATCGAATATTTTTGTCGTTACTCCATCATTACACCTAGTATTATTACTATCAGTATACAGTCATAAGCAGCCACTTTAAAACATAAAATCTTGCGACAAGTATTTGAAATTATCAGAAGTTTAGTAGAAAAGGAGGGATTTAAATTTTATGGCTTGTTCTGTGGTAGAACTTGGCCTCTAAATTTCTGTAAACACAGTTAACATAAAATGCTATGTAGACAATTAGCAGCCATTGATTCTATAGTTGTTTTTTAGATTATTTTCCCACGTGGTCTTAGGAACGTATTTTGTTTTTGACCTAAAAAACAAAATAATTAAAATAATTTAAAACATAACTGAAATACAGTTGCTATATTTTTTTAAAAACGCTGGATATGTACAACCTTATCGGCAAAATACATGTGTATATAAAGTATTTTGAGTCTAGCATGTGCAAATATTTAGGAATGAGTATGGTTTAGTGGGGCACATGTTCGCCTCACATCAAGGAGGTTAAATTCCCAGAGTGGACTTGTTACTTAGTATACAATAAAGTGTGTTTTTCCTAAACCACCAAACATAAACATTAGGTTTTAGAATAATAATGTTCTGTTGGAAATGGACGTAATACCTGTGTATTCTACATGTTTGTAATTTTTCAGTTCTCAGTGGTAGTAATTTGGATCCAGGTTTGAATACTGTATCACCCACAATCAAAATATTTGTCATGCCATTACATTTCTGGAGAATTTTTACTGTTTTTAGTCCCCGTTCGGACGCAGTCCGAAAACGGGGACTTATGTTTTGCCCTGTGTGCGTCCGTGCGTCCGTGATCACCTGTATCTTGAACATGCATGGACCGATTAAGTTCAAACTTCACTCATACATCACACCTTATATGGGACATATGCACATGCATTTTTTTCATGATCCGATTAACGATAGCCGAATAGCGGCCATTTTAAGGCCGAAAATGCATCAAAATCGCACATTTTCACCATTCCGGACCCGGATCTCAGTTATGCATGGACGGATTTTGTTCAAATTTGGTACATACATTAAACATAATAGGACCTTGATGCACGTCATTTTTTTTTTTGGATCGGGTTCGAAATGGCCGACTGGCGGCCATTTTGTTTTAAAGAATTCAGTTCTGGATCCGTATCCGAGACATGTCTGGATTGATCAAGTTCAAACTTCACACACACAAGGTACATCATGTCACAAATATGTATGTGCATTTGTTTCATGATCTCATTAACGATAGCCGAATAGCGGCCATTTTAAGGCCGAAAATGCATCAAAATCGCACATTTTCACCATTCCGGACCCGGATCTCAGTTATGCATGGACGGATTTTGTTCAAATTTGGTACATACATTAAACATAATAGGACCTTGATGCACGTCTTT